ATTTATGTGTGTGTTGTGTGTGTGTTTTTTTATGAAATTATTGAAATTATTGATATTTACGTTAAAAAGATTGAGAGAATTGAAAGAATTTAATATCCGCTACGTAAATTAACATAAATACACCAAATTATAATATATAATAAAAATTTTATAAATCTCTATTAATTATTATACAATAAATATTATAGATATAGCTTTTAGTACATATATAAAATAATGATTTAAGTTGTTCTCAGAATGCTTCAAGAAATCTTAATTATATAAACTTATAAAATAAAGAGAAGATAATATTTTATAATGAGCAGAGTTATGAAAGACATTATTAAAAAATAAATTAACATTGCAGAAAATAAGAAATGCGGACAATATTGATAAAATTTTTCTTATCACAATTTTGGAATTTGATAACAATTTGGTAACGCCTCTCGTACATCCATACGCGTGATCCAAAGGTCATAAAAATTCCATGATTACGTAAACCAGCAGCGCTATATACCTATCGACATATCCAACAGGTTTAAAAAGGAATATCTCCAATGGCGCTCGTAATATAGCGCTTGACATATGGATTCCTTCTTTAACATTTTCTATATCTACATGCACAATGACACTATTTCCAACTTTCAGAAAGACTTATTTTTCTTACCTGCTTGTGTAGAAGAAAGCGCGAACGTTAGTAGGAGGATGCTGCTGATGCTCTTCGTCATGTCTGAAACCGTTCTGACTCGATCGTACCATCGCTCTGCCCTTTTTCAATAACTACATACGACCTTAGATTCATTATTAAGATGCGGCACGCGTTTGCCTACGTAATTCTCCGTAGGTGAATCGTCGTGCGACGGCACGAATGATAAAAAAGAGATGCGACTTTCAATGATGAACAAAAACCAACAATCAATAAATAATTTTTTGAGTCACTTAGCATAGCTCTCTTTTTAAGGAGAAATGAATTTGTTATTCAAATTTTATAGACATATTTAATTTAAAATAATAATTTCTAATAATAATTATTTTTTAATAATTTTATACAGTAATTCATGGTTTCTATGACTTATTTACGATCGATGATTTTTGTTAAATCTCAAAATACTGTGATTATGATTAAAAGATATTTTATACAATGATTATTTTACATTTTATTATATGACACAGGGTTACATATAGTAAATATATAAGAAGCGAAATTTAGTAATTTAAATAATCAGTTGTATAATATAATCTAATGAAATTAAAAAAACTATTTAATTTTTAATTATACATATATTTTCAGTTATGATTACTAATAATAATCATCAGAAGGAATAATCATCATCATAAAATAAATCTTTGTTTTTATTTCTTCGTTTTTCTATTATCCATCGAAATATTTCAGTTCCATTTACTTTCGTTTCATTTGATTTGTTGTTCTTAAATATTGATGAGTCTTTTATCTTTGTCTGAGTATCTTTGTTACTTTTCTTGTTTAATTCGATGTTCTCAGATGTTGATGAATCTTTTCTGTCTTTGTTTTCAGATAGAATAGATTTTTTATAACTTTTAACTATTGATTCATACAGTATAGTAGAGGTTGGAGTACTTTGAGTCGTATGTACTTTCGTCTCGTTTGATACAACATTCTCAAGCACCGATGGGCCATTTGTATCCTTGTTATATTTTCTGAACTCTACAATAAGGCAAATGTTTAATTATATGTATTTATTTCTATAAATAGATATCTTTTTTTATTAATATCGCGTATATATTTTCAAAACTTACTTTCGACGAGCTCTCTGAACTCATTCTGAAGCGTTAGCAAACGTATTTCAAGATTATGCACTTGTTTGTTTAGAAAAAAATAATCTGATTCTTCCAACGATGGGTTATGAAATGGGCAATGAAAGTTATGCCAAGATGAGTGTACGCAACAACCTACATTATAATACATTTACATATACATTAATTTTTATTCCTTTTTATAAATAAAAAAAGATTAAGGTTATATAATGGATATTAAGTTTTGTCTAATAAAATGCAATTACAATTCAAAGATTTATAATTAAGACAGAGTATGCAATTTTATTAAATATCATCCTATTATCCATATTGTTGTACATGTGTTATCGACAATGTGTTATTAATAATTAAGATGTAATACATTGTCATTAATATTAGATATATTATGAACAATATTTAATGCGTTGATCAGTTGATACAGTTTGTATAGGAAAGAAAGTGCATAAATAATTTAAATATGAAATACATGCATGAAATTACAAAATAATTATTAGACACAATCGGAAAAAAAATATTTTTAATAATTTTAGTTTACTATTTGGAACTTTTAATCGATTCCTAATTAGTATCAGAATAATTTAATTCTATTTGTAACTTTATTTATTATATATTACGAAAAACATTTGAAAATTATTACGTATTCTTTCTTATTAGTTCTTAATACTTAATCGGTGATTATGATTTTATACTTTATTTTTTTCGTATCTTAGAGTTTTAGTATGTTTCATATATATTTAAATAGATGTCATTTGTATAATATTTTTAATAGGAAAAAGAGAATTAACAATTTATTAAAGGTATTCTCGCTTTTAATATTTCTCATATATTATTAGCGGATGTATTACTATTCTGATTTATCAATACAGTCATATAAATCACGAGAACTAATTATACTCATGTACGCAATTGATCATTTATCTGTCGGCATTCTCTTCATCTACGGTATATCAAAAATGCATATGCATTCTACGTTCTGCGTTTAGTTTGTAATGTCACTTGCGTGATTCACACAAAACTCATTACAAAGAATACATTATTTGATATAAGAATATTTCTGACATTCTACGAGATCGTAAATTTAAACAAAGTCTCTGACGATAAACTCTTTTGTTAACAACCGCGAAAATTTTTCTTTCTAAGTTGTATATAAAACTATAAATTTCAAGTCGTTTTAGTATCATCATAGACTACTGATTTATTAAACGTTTAATTTGCTAGTTTTTACATTGAAAAATGTGTATTATTATACATTATTATACATAAACTGACCATATATCACTAGAGTAATTATATTAGTTTTTACCTGCTACTCCTACATACTGCTCAATGCCCGTCAATAGAATTAAGAACAATAGAACTAATTTCATGATTTTACTTGATATTTTTTCGATAGCTACAA